AAATGTCATATACAATATACGCAGGCAATAATTCATCCCATCCCAATGCTATAAATAATATGTTTAAAGTTGCCCACATTATATTTTAATTCGTACTCTGGTTTTTAAAAGTTGATTATTTATTCAAAATTTTAATTGGAAATTATTCGTAAAAAATGTCTATTATAATATTTAAATATAAGTATTAAGTATTCTATTAAGCATTTTTTAATTGTTTAAATTTAATAATGCATAATTTATACAGACCTGCAGCTGAAAAGATCTAACTATATTGTTGTACCTCGTAGATAGCTTGTTATTTAATGGATAACTATTTCAGATAATAGCTTATACAAGTGAGCTGCGTATATAGAATTATTTATTTATTTATATTTTTTAATTATTTCTTTTGTGTGCAGTTGTATTTAATTTTGTATGTAATTGTATCATATAAAAAAATCGAAATTAAAGCTCGAATATATATGCAGAATGCAATTCAAGAGTGGAACTTATTTTATTTATTTACATTTTAGCACGATTGTTAAAATGTACATGTCGGCCTACCTTATCAGTATAATAAATATTAAATAAAAATAAAGAAATAATATAATATAAAACTAAGTAAATATTAAAAATAAATATATATACAAAGGTTTTTAGAAAAATAATTGTCAACTTAGTTTTAGCTTTTTTAATTTATTGAAAATCAATTTCTTACATAATTTAGATTAAAAGTTTTTTGACAATAACCCATCATTCTTTGTCAATCTCACTATGCAGTCGTCGGATTCTCCCTGTAAACATAAAATTGACAAGATTTGAGATTTAATATAAATTTATATCATTACAATATTGATATTATCATTCGCAGATATATTATGTCATTTTAATATCAATATAATAATTTTATATATTCGGAAAGTATCAAGAAATAAATTATGTATATAAAATCTATATATATATCTGCATGCATGCAGTAACGTAAACACACCATTCGACGAATCGCTCCACAGATTGCGTACATCTTGTGGGTGTCGGTCATGCGTCCCGTCTCCGGGTCGACATCGGCCAGAGTCAGCTGTATAGACGCGTGGTCCTTGGCGTGGATGATGCGGTTGCTCGCCGAGCTGCGACAGAGGGAAAAAAACCAGTGATTCACACAGTCCATTCTTTTCGACAGGAACACGCATTTCCGCCTATTTCGCCCTCCCGCAATTATTCTATCTGTCTACAAGTACGTATATTTCGCTTTGAACGTGGAAACGGACAGGACGGGACAGCTGAGAAGGGACTCGACCCCTCGGTCGGCAGGTATTGACAGATCTGTGTGGAGTCACTTCACTCGCGGTAATCTAACCTCACTTACTGCGAGCTCGCTGCGTGTCTCTCGCACGCGGTACGGTCGATCGGAAATCTTATTGCATAAAAAAAATTGAAAACGCGGCGAATTGGACATCGGACATCGGGACGTCGAGATTCTCGCTCGCTCGCGGCACAAAAGTTTACGAAAACTATCTTGCGGCACCCACGTGCGTTTGCGTCTTACCATTTTCGCGGGATGTACAAGTCGACCAGATTTCCCAAATCGTTCTCCATTTTTCTTTTCAGCTGCAACAGATACCGTAAAACGGGGGATTAGCTCCTCGAGCGAAGAGAACGCAGCCGCGTCAATTATCTCGTAAATACCTGTCGCTTACAATCGGCACACGTCGATCGCTCAAGATGGCTACGGAACAGAAGGACCGGAGCAGAGAGGATCCGAGAGCAGACGTGCCGGCCTTTTGGCTAAAATGCCCTCGCGCTACTATCGCCCTCTGAAGAAGTGGATCCAAATTACATAGCAAAATCAAGATTTCTGCACAATTTGTGGTGCGTGTCCGTGCTAAATCCACTTTTCGAGTCTGCTGGAGCTTTATTTTCGAAAAATTACGCATTAGAAAGTAAGGAAATATACTTCCTAATGCGTAATTTTTCGTAGAATAAAGACTCAGTAGACTCGAAAAGTGAATTTAGTACGGACACGCACCACAAATTGTGCAGAAATCTTGGATTTTGCTATGTAATTTGGATCCACTTCTTCAGAGGGCGATAGTGCGCAAGGGCATTTTAGCGTTACAGCCAAAAGGCCCGGCATGTCCGCTCTCGGATCCTCTCTGATTGGAGTGACTGCGCGCACCAGCTGCGCCGACGCGCCGGGAACTGCTCCTTGCAGTACCGTGCTGCACTTTGTACACTTGAAAGAGACGGACATGTAATTAGTATTGAAGAGAGAAAGAGGGAAGACAGATGCGAACGTCGCCCAAGCCTTGCCAGTTGCTACCACAGTGTTACCGCACACGTATGTATAACTTACTGATTTTTGTATGTATATACGTAATTCGCAGAGATCATGAATATTATTACAAATCGAACGTTTAAAAACGGCTTCGATTAATTTACTCAGCGATCAGTTGCTTTAAGACAAGATTTCTAGCTGTGTAATTCGTCCTCATAATTGCAGTTTTTATAATCTAATTTTTATTTACGTATTTAATCCTCTAATCGCGCATATGATGTCTATTTCATAATTATATTATATATTAGACAGAATTGTTTTGGCTTTATCGATCAAACGATAAATATATGTTATTATTGACATATCATATGTTATTGACATAACCAAACCCAGGCAGAACAGATTGCGGTCCATAGACGTAGTCGATTCGACGTCTATGGACCAATTTGTTCTACCTGGATAATCCTCGGTATTAGATACAGAATATCGCTTCAAATTATACTTATAAACATCGTTATCGATTATAAACGTAATAACATATATATTTAAAAAGAAGATACGAAAACGTGTAGATGCGCGCAAATCAATCGTAGCAAATTTTTAAAAAGTAAATATTTATTCCTGTGGATTTTTATTAATTTATTACTATAAATTTTGTTAATAAATATTTATATTACTATAAATTAATTTATATACACATATTTATTATAGTAATTATACATTCGGAGGAGGAGGGGCAGGACGTCATCGGGCTTTGACATCGAACGTAGCCTGTCCTACAATCCTGAAAGTTATTAAATCAATTATCTCGCGTTTTGCTGAGAAATCCACAATCAGATTTGAAATTCAAATTGACACTTATATGCACATATATTAAATCGCCCGACAATTTTTCGCCTAAAATTTCATCACGGCGCATGCGCGAGAAGAGCCGACGGAGAAGATCGTGCACTTCGTTGTTGCAGTCCTTCCTTCCCCTCCTCGCCCCTTTTCGATGCTCGCGGCGGTCCGTCGACGCCGTGCGCTGCGCCGGCTGCGCGCGTTGCGCTCCGTACATTCGCGATTACGTGCTATACTATACAGGGTGTCTCAAAAGTCTTTAAATTAATATTTCAAGGCGTGTAAAATAATAAAATTTTGAACTAAAAGTTCCTTTACTAATTTTGGCTCACAGACCATTTATTTTTATTTACAGAGTTATTGATTAATAAAGTTAATCAATCAGATCGCGCTTAACCGGAGTACGTAGGAGCGTATGCCGTGCTGCTCTTTGCGCTTATTTCTCTTGATTAAAATTTCATTCTAATTTTTCATATTAATAAATAAGTAAATGAATAAATTAACAAATAAGGTAGGTAAATAAATAAATCAATAAACACACACAAATAAATAAATAAGAATAAATTACAGTTCGAAATTTATCCAATTGCTGATTTATTCTTATTTATTATTTATTTATTAAAAATCTATTATTGCTCGTTTTTTGGTCGTTAAATCTTCCCTTATTGAAATAAGTAAATAATAAATAAAAATAAAGATAATCAGAAATTGGATAAAATTCGAACCGTAATTTATTTTTACTTATTTATTTATTTGTGTGTTTATTTATTTATTTATTTACCTACATTATTTATTCATTTACTTATTTATTATGAAAAATTAGAAAATTTTAATCAAGAGAAGTAAGCGCGAAGAGCGGCACGTCATTATGCTTCTATTCCGTATTCCGGCTAAGCGCAATCTGATTGATTAAATTTATTCATTAATAACTGTGTAAATAAAAAATGGTCTGAAGTTCAAAATTTCATTCTCTTCCACGCCTTGAAATATTAATTAAGTGTTTTGGGACACCCTGTACACGTGCCGTCGTCTACGAGCACGGGCGATGCAATTCGTCGGCCGACCGCCGACGGCGCCGACGACGTCGTTCATCGCTTGCGTACGGAACACCCTGGCCTGGCGAGAGCGGCGGTGCTTCAAAACAGGCCGCGTTCGTGGCTCGCGATTCAGTAGCGGGGCGCGCTTCGCGCTGGAAGGACCGGTGGCGGTTGTTTGTATATGTGATGTATGTGCGTGCGTGCGTTCGCTCGCTCGACGGCGGCAGGACGTGCGATGCGCTTCGGCAGGACTGACCGAGTGATTGATCGAGGCACACGCACGGCAGCGGTCCAACATGTCCATGAAGGTGAGTGCGCGGAGAGGCCGAGATTCGTGATGTTACCCTTTCCCCTGCGGGGGAACATTCCTCCCCCAGCCTCCCGGGACGCCGTCTCCTGCTCCTCTCCCGATGTATGTACGTGAAAGTTTGGAAGGATACTCGCGTCCGCAGTTGTTGAACAGGATCTGTAGGATAGATAATTATGTTGTTATAGGAAAAATTTTTAATGATCATGTAGTTGGTGGAAAAATTGACACCCGCTTTGCCTGCATCCTTCCGTATCATCCGAAATTAAAATCAGCCTCTTTTCAGCTGGAAACTGATTCGCTTATACTTCCCTGTTTGAGGCTCGTTCCCTCAATGAAACAATTACAATTTGTTACTCAATTTATTCCTGATTCGCAGACTGAACAGAATTCTTTGAACATTCGGATTAATGAATTGATGAACAGGATTAAAACCCTTTGCAGAGCTTCTCCTATATTCAATTTTATTATTATTATCGAAAGTTGGATTCGATCGCATAATTTATCGCGATGGCTTATGCATAATTCATCGAGTACGAATCTGTACGCGATTACAATCGATAAATTCTGTATTGTCGGAATCTCCATAAATTCCTCCAAGTATAAAATCCTTTGATTCACATTAGACCAGTACGTGTATTAGATGAAGGTACTTGATCTTCACCCATTTGCGAGAAATATTTAATTTAGATTAGCGTCGACCCTGCAAAAAGGGTCGATGTTATTGCAGCCTCCTGTGTGGTTCATTTCCTCGCTCTATCGTTTATCGTCGCTGCGCTTTTATCTCTCCGATGGGTCGATTGTTTTTTCTTCCGGAGAGAGAGAGGAAAATCATCGCTGTTATCGCGATCGGCCCTTCAGGCTTTTTTTTTTCTTTCGAACCCGTCGCTCGTCGCGCTGCGCGACATCGAGAATGATTCGCGTATTGGGCGAGCGAAAAACTATATTATAGATATAAGCTCCAAGGACGCGTGCACCTCTATTATAAGCGCGACAAGAAATACACGTGCGTCTTATCTCACGTTATAGCGCGCGCTCGCGTTATTTCTAGTCCGCGACGATGAATGGGCGCACCTGCTTGCTTGACGGCGCGAGAGCGCGCGATCGAAAACGAAAAAGTGAAGAAGGTGTTTGTCGCTCGATCGCGCCCGCCTGCCGCGACCCGGATATTCCCCGGTCAGAAAAACCAACCGCGAAGATACGACGGTCGATTATTATCCCCGACGGTTTTTCTACAGCCGAGATCGAGCGACAAACGCCGGAATGCGCCGCGCTGCGTACGACGATCCTTAATTCGCTGGCAATTGCAATCGCAATAATTGTCATATAAGTAAGTATAGTTTCAACGAGTACTCGAGTTTACGGACTATGGACGTTATTATCAGCGCGATATTGTTCGTGACATGCGTTGCATAATATCGAACGGTGTGTATAGAGTCCGCTCTCTAAAGCCGGACCCGTCGCCGTCGGCGGGGCGTGCTTAACAGCTTGTTCATCATATTTTACATATCTGCATTATGTAAGATCTACATCAGACTTCTCAAATTGAGCTTGTTAACAACTGGCTGATAAGTCCTGCGACGCAAGTCGCAAAAATTCGAGAGATCTATACGCGCTGCTGCCTCTTGCCGTAATTTATTTCTCGACGTATTTACGACGTTCCTATAATGAATGTAACGATTAAATTATACGGTGCGTATTTTTTATATTACATTAAAGTAATGACAAATATTCAGGAAAGGTTTTAATTTTAATTTTTGCAGATACATAATTAATCATTTTTTAAATTTTAGAGTTTTATAGATGTAGCATTTGAAGAATCGGAATACGCGCAAAATGTAACGTATATTAAAATGCAAGCATGTACATCAAAATGTATGATATATAAACATAAAAAATTCTATCCCGGCATTTGACGCTAAGCCGCAGATCGTCTAGGGTTTTAAATTCAATGGAAACTGATATTGTAATGCTTCGAGCTGGATTCTGAAAGGTAGTTTCAACTACACAGTGTTTGAAATTCCAATACATATTAGAGCAGCGCGAATGTAGGTATGTATGTACATGCAGGGAAAAAGGCACGCAAGGATGCGGCGCATCGGCGGTGATTCTCAGTGGTTGCGTCGTTTTGATATTTTAATAAAGCTTTAATCGTCGGCAACGCGCGCTAATTACAGTCGAGACTGCGGAGAAAAGTGCAGCTCCGCGAAAGCTGCGCTTCGGAAATTATCGCTGCCAAGGACATGTGTTGTCCGACGTGAAACTTTTAGCTTTTAGGCACGTAATAGGATACAAGGATACATATATATGTATCAATTGGAATTTAAAATCTAAATTATGAATTTATAATAATTTAATAACTTTATAACTTTCAATTATGGAACAGGTTCTGTATCAGTACATATATTACATGTCGTACAGGTTTTATCTCAAAGTTGTATACTCCGAGTGCAGTTAGGTACTATATTATATATAAATTACACGTACGCACTCACGTATGTGCGCGTAATTAGGATAAATCGTCTATTTATTGAGTACTGAGAAAGATCTGCTTGGATGAGGAACAGCTGGCGGTTTGACTCGCGGTACGATTTGAGCAATTTAGGAGGACAAATATGTTTCACCTCTCGCAATTAGATGTAATGATCAATGCTGATTATTGTAGTACCATAATTATATAACATTTAGTGTTTTATATTTTTGAATTCCATGACTTAAAAATTCTAACAAGTTTTATAATTATATTTAATATTCTTTTCTAATAATTATAATTATATTTCAAAATTATCTTCTATAATATCGCAAAAATTACAATGCTAAAAAGATATGAATGTACGTTTTTAGTTTTTGTTTTTCTTCTTAAACTTTGTATTTAATTGTTATACTTTCAAATGATCGATGATATAAAACTGTATTAGTTTCTGAAAGAGACGCGCTTACGTCTAGCTTTATATTTTAAAAATTATTGGAAAGTTAAATGTTATCGTGGCCATGGAATGTTTTAGCGGATAAAAGCGTCACGATATACCGCACTGCATTTTCGTGATACGGGACAATTTGTTTCCCGTGTTCTACATATCCGAAGGAGACGCTCCTTGCTGTGTGTGCTACGGTATAGAATCACCGCAAAATCCTGTAATAAGACTTTTCCGCGCCATTGAGCGTACAGCCCGACGCGTTCTACAATTTTACGTTTGCGATCCGTGACGCGCGTCCGGAATCGGTAGACTAACGGATACAACGCTACAGATATCGGGCCTAAAATTCCAAATTTCTCCCCTGCCCGTCCGTGGAATTCCACGAAATATTTCGGAGCGTGCGAGTTCCGTTAAGATATAAATCCACGAGTGCGACGCGTCGAGGATACAGGCATTTAATTCCTCGAGAAATCACGCGGGATGTTTCTCTCTCTCTTTCTCTCCACGAACGTGTTATCTGCACAACTCGACGCGAGTCGAATCACTCCATAAACACTCAAAAGCGAAGGTCGATGTATTATTTCGATCGTCGTCGACTGCGAGGACACTCGCGCTGGATAACACTCGCGTCGCGTGTTCACCGTTAGAAGTCGTAAACGCGGAGAATAAAGGCCGCCGGATCTTCGGTCTCGAGGAAAATCGATCCCAATGACAACTGCGAGCATATCTGAGATTATGGAGGCGCTAAAAATATTTGACGAGCTTTTTTTTTTAGATGGGCCGAACGATCCGACAAGCTCATCCCATATTTACAGTTGCATATATATATATAGTCACACACGACTCATATATTCGGGCCTCGATTTGACATAGCAGGAATAAGTTTTTCCACATTATTTGAATACCGGAAAGACTTGGATACGCGTGAATTTATCCTTCGATAAACGGTAATTGAAGAGTCAACCGCGATTTGCTTCATATTAATTTATATAGCGTTGTATTAATCTTGAAATTGATTTTATATGAAGTGAACATGAAAAGTTAAAATAAAAGCTACAAATAAATTTTCTAGGAATCTAAAGAGAGATTGGGATTATTCCAAATCGGATCAAATTAAATTAAATTGTTCTAGTTTCAAAATTTATCTTGATTTTTAATAAATAATTGGTCTTTTTTCTTAATTAATTTTGGATTTGTGCTAATTATACAAACTTTTTGTGCTTTAGTAATAAACGTAACTTTTGCAATTAATTAATTTAAGATTTTCTAAATTGAAAGAAAGTAGGTTTCCGCATCGGACTTCTGAATTTTACATCATCACGATTTTAATGGTTTCAATAAATTCTCGAGACGTATATACAAATAAACTTTTAGACACTGCCGCGTCCGCTGATAGACACGCACCGACCGTCTAACCGCCTTACGTAAACGCAAGAAACGAGAATTTAATTAGCATTTTATTAACCTGTTAATTGTCGCTTTTTTTCAGAAAGAATCGCCTTGGGACGTGGAGCTGCATCTGACGGCGGCACGCGGGGACGCCAAGCGTCTTCGCGTTCTATTGGACTCCGGACGCGTTCACGTTGATTGCAAAGACAAGGTCAGTACCGCGTGCAATGCTCTCAGTTTCCGAAGTAAGATCTCGCTATATCTCGTGGCCACTTCTCGGACACGGCTTTCCAAAACGGAAGCTTCGCGACGATCCGCGACCGCCAGCTACGGAAAAACATCGAGCATTTTTTGTCGAGCATTTGGAATTTCGGAAAAAAAGAAATTGAAAGAAAGCTATTCGCTTTACATGAAGATGATAATACGCGCCGTTATCCTGGAAGTGGATACGTGATTGGTTTTATCGGCTGAAAATCGGTTCGTCAGCGCGAGACAATACACGAACCGCCTGAGATTACTCGCCGCGGAAATCGATTAGACCGGAACCCGCGCTCCTGATTGCAATTGGCCTCGCGCGCGATAGATCAGGCGATATCGCGCGATTCACCGGCGATTTTCTCTCCTCGCTCGTCGGTCGACTCATTATGCAAACGACGGCGAGCAACACGAGTAACGTTACTCTTCTCTCCGCGCGTCACGAAAGTGGTTTATTAGATCAGCGCGGACACCTAATCGTGCCACTTTTCGGGCCTGGATTACCGCGCGTTTTTATTGCCGACGTCGCATTTTTCTTTTTTTTTTTTTCTTTTTTGCGAGCTCGTCCACGTGGAATTGTGTCAGTGTCGGGGCCGAATCGAATCGTCACGCGTCCGTTCGGTCATCAAGCGTTTATGGCACTTCCTGCCATTCGCGATTCTTTTTTTTCTATTTCGAAACGCCGAACATGCGAGAGAAACTTTGCGTTACTCGTCGATATTTTTAAGCAACGTTTGTAACACGAGAGAATATCCTTTTGTATACGTATATCGTTGCTTCTTGACGAAATACTGCGACTGTACACATTGATACACGTGTGCTAATTGCATTAGTGGACCTTTAGCCGTTAGAACGTTTAGCGCGAACATTTATAATAGCTCGCGAAAAGGATCGATTAGAAAATACACACCGGCACACATACGCCGATAGCGTTCACCGGCGAGAAAGTTTCGCGTCTGAATTGAACTCGTCGGAGCGTCCGAAGTTTTGCAAACGAGGTCGGTCTTCTTTCAGGACGGCACGACGCCTTTGATATTGGCCGCCGCCGGTGGTCACATCGACGCGGTGACCGAGCTGCTGCACCAAGGGGCGGACGCCAATGCCAAAAGACTGGTAAGTTCTGATCTTTATGTCAAAGGTTGCGTTCGGTTTGGCCCTTACGGCACTTATAAGCGTCATTTGTTTAATATTTAATAAACAAGGTCGAAGCGATCATGCTGTGAGCGCTAGAAGCGCCAAAGCGATCGCTACCAAAAATATCGAGCTTACTATATCTGTGCAAATGAATGGATTATCCCCGTAAGAAATAAATGAAGTCTCGCCATAGACAACGCGTGTTCGCCCCGCGTTCGTTAATGGCCAAAAATCCATATAGTATGCTGCAATTATAGCGTATTAATATTATGCAGTTATTAATTACTATTAATTACTATTAATTAATTATACGTTATTAATAGTATACAGGGCGACAATTTAAAAGATTAGTACGCCTGCTCTCATTTGTATTTATTGGAGGAGAGACCAGCTTGACAGTTATTAATTTTTCAATTTACCTGTTCGCAAGTCGACCATAAAATGAGAATGTTAGACGAGATTTATCTGTGACGTATAGTTTATCTCTTACTAACAACAAAATCGTGTAAGATATAGTCATTGATGCGATAAGCGATATTTTGAGGACTTTCTTACTTTACGTACGCGAACTTATCATTAGCTGCGAAAATACCGTCGAATATCATCGAGTAATGTAGCGTGTAACTCACAATCAGTATTTAGATACCATTCATTCCGAGTATCGTGGCATTGAAATAGAATTTTTGAAACTTTTCGGAGCAGGAAGTAGGTTTACAGCAAAGTTATAAGTAAAGAAGAGATAAAAAAAAAAGCATCGGCTTGCAACGCGTCGTATCACTTTTAAAGCGCACGCGGCGCTCTCAGCGAGATATAAAAAGCCCGTCGCGTCACGCGGTGCACCAGGAAGCTGTCGGGTATCCCTTTTTTTTTTCTTAAGTCCCTCCAAGAGGATTTATCGTCGTGCCCACGCTTCTCCCTTTCTCCCTCGGGTGTCTCGTGCCATCTCGAATTACGGTATTGTATGCAAATCGATGACAAGATTGCCAGAGTTGGACGGACCGGGTATGTGTCTCGAAAAGTGATAGAGCAAAGGATATTGAGGAGAGTAAAAATTCACGACGAAGTTTATTTAATATTAATACTTTTTTTTTATCGAGAAATCCAGATCATTTTTCCTATGCGCAAAAAAATCTGTTCTTATAATAAAGATCTCAAAAGCCGCGACAGATTTCGATTTTTTTAATCTTATACTTTTCATTTAATAAAATATCGAAAACATTAAAAAATCTTGATATGTTGATTAAATATCTTCAAACAGCTGCGCCTGGTTGTCAATTTCCTTGGCGGATATGATCGCTATTAGAAACGCACGAGAGAAAAAGAGAGACGGGGAGAATGCTACACGATGAGTAAACGTGCTCGGAAATAGGAATAGCGTAACGCGTTCGATGAGATCGCGCTGATCGTACGGCGCTTCTTCCTCCGTGATTGAGCGTAAACAGCGTATAAACGGTGACGGCGCGTCGCGCGTAGAATTACGCAAAAAGCCTCATTAAAAACCCGTTAAGCGCGTTCGTCTCGTCTTACGCAATCGGCGCCAATCGAGAGATCCAGGGATCCATTTTCATGGACTGGAAAACGCGTTCCTCTCTTAAATTAATACCTCCGAGATCCCGCGACCGTTACTTACGGGGAGATAATTGTATCTCATTTCGATTTCCATATCAATTTATCGGTACGCACGGCAATCGGCTATAATAAATCCCCCCCCGGCGGGGCAAAAAACCGTAATTGGCGTAAAGCGATAATTTTACACGGAGGCCGGGGAAAACTCGCGTACATTTCGCCTCAAATCCTGGTTAAGAGCCGTGTTGGAACTTTCAGCGCGCGCGGCATTGATTTGGTGACCCGACGGGGAGCCCGTTTAACAAACTTGCAATATAAATATCGCGCGGGGTGAGAGAAAAATGAATTGTGCGGAAGTGAGGAAGGCGAGGAGGACGAGGGTTATAATATTTCAAGGTCGCCTGCATGGGCATACCGTGAGCTTGTGCCGTAACGTACGTGCGTGTTCGCGTGGTTCTAATGTGCCTCTTAATAGCGGAGTGCCTGTGCAAAACACGCAACGCCGGTAACGTTGGAAGTTCGAGAATTATCGCTGACACACTGGTGTGTCTACAATCTAAACGTGTTATCCATACTACTATCGCGAGTATCATCGTAAACACGTTATAGGAAGAGCGCGCGTGTGGCACGGCAGCGAGTTGTTCGTTAATAGAACATTAGAGAGTGTGGGAGATAGATAATATATATATGTATATATTTTTTATTTCTTCTTTACTTACTTTGCTGTAAACTTATACTTCCTGCTGTGAAGCGTGCTTTTTTCCTATCTCTTCTATATTTATCAGGGGAGAAAGCACCGCGCTATCAATATCTGTCGCACTTTTTCCGAGAAACTGTCGACTTCAGGTTTTTTCTCGAAAATAATCTCTCGCTGGAAAGTAATATCTTGTTCTGAGAAATATATTATTTTTATTTATAATAAATTTCCATGAATTTTTATACTTAATATCCTGTTGCGTAAAATCGACTTGCAATCTGCGATTTCTTTTCTTTTTTTTGCATAAGTATGATATTTAATTATGTAAGTGTAAATCTTTTTAAATAATCTTTTCAAATAAACTCGGATTTCTCCACTATTTCTTCGTAAATTCCGATATTTATTGCGACTTCCACGACTGAAGATACAAATCTTTGAACGCGAGAGAAAGAATTTAAAGGAAGAGATTTCTCAGTAGGTGATAGCGTTCTAAAAATTCTACCCATGATTATATCGATCGTCTAAAAATGGACAACGCCGGCGAGGGTGAATGACACCTGTCGAGTCGACCCGACGACTCCAGCCTCCGATAAATTGTAGATCTTGTGTGCAGCTGCGACACACTCTCTCTCGTCAATGAATGAACGTTAATTGGAGCGATCGTACAGCTTCGATCAAGCCCTATTCAACGCCAATCGGTCTCGTTTAATGCAATACAACAAAAGTGTCGCGCGTCCGTTTGTCGCTAATTATCGCTCGTACCAGTTTCCCGTACCAATTAATTAAAATCGACGCCGCGCGCTCGCCAAACGAAAATAACTGACCTTTCGTTGCCCTACTTGGGACTGATGCTCAATCGGCGGGGTTTTGCATCCGTAAGCCGTAAAAGCGCGGTAGGTACCGCTATGCTGCTCGCGCCGTGGCTGATTCAGCGAGGAGCATCTCTCTGGGTTACGATGAGATCTTCAATTCAGACCTCTCTTTCTCTCTTTCTGCCTCTCTTTCGAGCGGTATTAAGATATTGATTTTTTGCAATATTTCACAAATGCATGTGTTTATTCGTATAAAAACATGTGAAAACCGCAGATTTTTCGAGAGATAGAAGAGCTAAAGGAATTTGCATAACATTTATTTCTTAATTCACTCTTATTTATTTAATCAAGATATTTATTATTATGTTTAATCAAGATTATATAGTTCCGTATGCACGTTCGTGGATTTTTGAGGCATTTATCGTTTCTACACTTGTAGATTTTTCGCGTCTATAGCAGATAAGCGAATTTTTCTTTCTGAAAAGTATACATAAACCTCTATATGGAGATACCTATCTAGTTTCGAGATCAGCTCAGACGTGATGAGCGCGGTTGCCTACTCCTGATAACTTGGTAGCCTCTGATGAATAAACCTGTGTGTGTATGTGTGTGTGTATCGGGCATTTGATCTCGGGCTGACCGGATTTTTGCGCGGCGCGTTTCCTCATCGTACATGATCGCACCGATGCGCGAAGCGAAAGGAACGCGCCGTCCGTCGCGATCGTCGTCGTCGGGCCGATCGGCGGCGGGTGCGGGCCATATAAGTATAACGTGACAGGTTGATCGTCGGGCATTATAGAATTTCTGCGGTTCGGTAATGGATAGGTATTATGTCCCCGCTTCGTTCGCCACGCATCGCGGCGCACGTAACTCCACGGCGTGTGCACCGGTCAAGGCAGGGAGATACGCTACAAGTTGCAGAACAGAAAAAAAACCGAGAATAAGATTCGCCACGTGTTGCAAATACGTGGCGCGCGGAAGAGGGAATTAAATAAAAGTAAAAAAAGAAGATAAAAAGAAAAAGGGAAGCAGCGCGATCGAAAACGGAAGCTAAAGTTTCCGGTCCCTCCCGTCGTCTCTTTCTCCCGGAAGTAATATCGAGGGATTAATTTGCGTTGTATCTCGCAAATTGAGGCTCTCGCAGATACGATCGGCCTCGCGTCAGGGTGTGGAACGGCAGGTACATAACCGATAAAGCTAGCCGAGTTCGCCGCTCCCTCGACCGGGAGCTTTTACGGCAGTGAAAGTGCATTTTACTCGATCGCGTCGGGTCGGGTCCAGTGGCGGATTAGCGGCGCGCCTAAGGCTTCGTGTACGAAGGAGAGCAAAATAAATCACGCGATTGACAGGTCAATATGTCAAATTGCCGTATAATTGCTCAGACAACATAAAGTCCAAAATCGGGACGTAAGACGTCTTTTCGATGCCTTTTAGACGTCTCTTGCGTCTTTAAGTGTCTTTCAAATGTCTCTTTAAAACAATGTCTTGTGTCTCGATCTTTGGACTTTATGTTGTCTTAAATAAAATAAAATATGGACGTGTGAAGAAATATAAACTGCCCGTTTATACTCTTATTTCTAAAGATTTGGATAGCGTTAAAGGGGACCCCTCCTTATACAAATCTCATTACAATTCTTCAGGCGTGCCACTCTCTAAGAGACTTACAGAGATCTCTTTGAGAGAGAGAGAGAGAGAGAGAGAAAGATGTTTTATGTGCCACGGGACGAGGAATTTGAAAGTGTAATTTGCAGTATTATAAGTATGCGAACGTACTTTGAAAAATTCCGCAGTCTTAAGAACATTGTGTTTGCGTTGTGCATTATACGCGTCAGAAAGAGAACGGTTTAATTTTCTTTCCTAGGTCTAACACGCTTCCAGGAAGAGTCGCTCTGCATTTTACTTCAAGAAGCACCGTTGCGAGTTTGGTAATTTACTAAACACTAAACGTTTCGTTCTAACCGGCCTCTCGAACTCCCCATTTTACCTTTTACGACTCTTTCCCGCGTCCGTTAGCATATACGATCGAAATCGCCCGACACAGTCCAGGAGGATTTATCTTCCCCTCGTGAAAGCGTAACGTTGGGTTCTAATTGCCTCGCGTAGCCCAGAGAGAGACCCGTGTTATATCTCGTAACTAATCGTTAAGCCAGGAATTGCGATCGACGAAAGTTTCGAAAAGTTTTACGCGATTCGAGCACGACAACGGTGGGCGGATGGTCATGCTTTAATGCGAGACACTATCTTAATCGGGTGAAGGACACGTAACGTTGTATTGTATTATAAAACGGCGCTATACGTCGCTTCGTATACAGATCGATCGTTTGCGGCTGCCAAGTTTCAGCACTAACGATGGACCTATTAATAATCACAATGATGTGTTTTCTAAGATAACACCAATAGGATAGCCTTTACGTTATTGGATTGAGAATAGCCGGACAATGCTGTGAAAAAAAATTATTACAATTTTTAATTTTTTAAATTAAGATTAGCAAATTAATGTTAGTTTTTATTTAATATTTAATATCTTCTATCTGTAGATGGCGATATATTTTGTGTTGATCATAAATGGAAAAATCTCTATAAGGCCCGGTTCCGTAAATGTAAGAGTAACTTTAATCTCGGTTTAACTTACTGTTTTTTTCTAATTCTTAGATTAGAAAAAGATAAAGCGAGTTGAACCTCGGTTAAATCGAATTAACCGCGAATTGCGAAACCGGGCCTAAATCGCCGTATCTCGCAATAATTTCTCTCATCTTTCTCGCACCAGAAGAGATCGGATTTGACATTTGCTCGAAATATCAAGGCCGCTCCGCGCGACCGGTTCTCGCGCCGCTAAAGTTTACCGTTAAGCATGACATATCGTAGCTCCCCGTGTTATATGGACGGGGATACATACGTGTATATACAGGTGCAAGCGACGGAGGAAAGTTGGGCGTAATTCTAACAAGTGAGCCGTAAAGAGAAGCTCGATCGCTATCCTCGAGTGCCCGTTGCGCTTCGAAGGAAATCGACGTTTTCTCTTTCACATCAATAAAATGCCGTTTCGATATCGTTGTTAATGACAGCGATCAGTGCAATTGCCGCGACTGTTACGTCGATTTACCGTGGATATACATAAATTGCGGGTGGGCCGCGGGAGATACGTGACATTTGCATATCGCTAAAGTGGTAACTGACGTCACGTCGAATCCTCCGTGCGATTCAACGCACGTGTGCCGAGGCACCGGCGATGCCGTGATCTTTCGTGATGGAAATTACGATGAAATTATACTATACTTTCGACGTGCGCGCGAATATCTTTCGGGACGTCGCGAAGAAATAAACCCGGAAAAGATCGCTTCGTCCTTTTCATCAGAAGATGGACAGACTATTGATCATTTTCTATTTCTAACATTTTCTAATTCTACATATTTTCAATTTCACAATTTCATCAGAGAGTCCTTTTCTTGCGAACAATGCAGACATTTCCATTTAGCGTTTAAATTACTATTATTATTACCTACTAGACAGATGTAGAAAGCTGGGTTTTTCTCCTCTCGGAGATAAAATTGCGCATTATCGATTCTCTCCTTAATTCTTCTCTCGTCTCGCTGTGCTTATCTCGTGCGTCCCGTATAGAAATTGTTACATTCTATCGCGAAGAGTTTCCGGCCTCGCGATATTCCGCCTTAAACTCTGCAAGATATGCGGAATAATTTTACCTCGAGCATTTCAATTTTCGAGAGAAAAAGAAAGAGCATTCAGATTTATTTCTTCGAGAAAACAAATTATTACTAATTTAAAAAAGAAATCATTGCAGAAAAAATTTCTTTCCACTCATTTTGTTTGTAACAATTATAAACTCTGCAAAATCTAATGTAGATGTATATTTTTGGATACATCTCATTCTATTTTTTGAAAAGAATTTATTCCAGAAAATATTTGAGCTGTTCGAGGTAAATGGATCAGCTGATGCGTGTTGAGATAAACGTGACCAGTGATTTGACATGTATTATACTTATATCGGGAAACACGTACACAAAAACTTATTATTAAATAATCTCAAATGCTTTTTTTATAATATAATTTAATTGTAATCTTTATAATATACTTTTTTAATTTAATATAATTAATTTAATTTTATGCCATAATATATATTATAATTTTATAATATAATTTAATTTTAATTTTTAGATATTGTCACAATTAAATTTTGATATTATAATAAAAAAGGCATTTGAGATTAATAAATTTTGTGTAAATGCCCAGACATAGATACATGGTTTCTACCTAAACATCAACAGTCGCTGGTGCGTTTACCTTACTACACAACGTCGTCCGAGACGACGCGTGTGATCGCACACTTGTGATAACGTACGTTCGTCTTGTGTTTCGCAGACCGGGACAACGGCTTTGTTCTTCTCCGCCCAGGGCGGATACATGGACATCGCGGGCCTGCTTTTGGAGCACGGCGCGATCGTGGATTCGTGCAGCATAGTAAGTAGAGTGGCGGAGGCGCGCTCTTTATTATATTTATTTAGCGCGCGCGTAATCCGATCTCGCTGCTCTTTAAACGCTAACACGTGTCCCACGTGGATTTTCAGGACGGCGGCACGCCGCTCTTCGTCGCATGCCAGTACGGTCATCTGGACGTCGTGGAGGGCTTAATAGAGAGAGGCGCCAGTCCGAACGCTCATATGAAGGTAAAGGAAACGCGCTCGAAGCGCATCGACTCCCACAATCAGCTCGCCAATTTTTTAATTCTCAGTGTATCCGACTGAAGGAATTTAAATAAGAGCTTGACTCTATATGAATATAATGGAGATTTCTTAATTCTATTAAATATAAATAAAAAATTATCAATTTATGAAGTATATCAGCTATCAGAGAAATCAACACGCTTCAGTCGGGACACACGTTGCTGGCATAACAGGGCGATATCAATATACGAGAGAAAGTTAAGAAATGATTACTCACCAGGACGGTGCCACGGCGTTGTTCATCGCCGCTCAGAACGGTCACCTCCGCATTCTGGAAGTCCTCCTGGAGCACGGGGCGAAGACGGACGCGACGAGAACGGACGGCGCCACGCCGCTGTGGATCGCGTCGCAAATGGGGCACGATCACGTCGTCAGGAGGCTGCTGAGAGCCGGCGCGAAGGTCGACGCCACGAGACACGTGAGTCTACATAGCGTGTTGTACATAGATCGCGTGTACCTCCGTATAATCACCCGAGAGTGACCTCTCGCTATTGTGCCACGCCACGGCGGCTTGTCATCGCGAATAATTTCTCTTCCGCAGGACGGCGCAACCCCGCTTTTCAAAGCCGCCCACAAGGGTCACACCGCCGTCATCGGCGAGCTGCTCAAGTACCGTCCCTCGCTCGGCGTGCTCCCGGTAAGTCAGAGAAAAAAAGTCAATGAGAATCTTGGAACGATCTAAAAATTCGTGTATAATATTTTAAGCTAATTTTTGATAGTCAAGTATCTTAATTTTAATTTTTATATTTTTTAATTCTAACTTTATGTATAATTCTCTATGTAAATTTCTATTGGTATTTCTGTTGGAGAAAAAAGTCAATGAGAGTCTTGGAACGATCTAAAAATTCGTGTATATTTTAAGCTAATTTTTAAATATCTTAATTTTAATTTTTGTATTTTGCAATTCTAACTTTATGTACAATTCTCTATGTAAATTTCTATTGGTATTTCTGTTGGAGAAAAAAGTCAATGAGAGTCTTGGAACGATCTAAAAATTCGTGTATGTTTTAAGCTAATTTTTAAGTATCTTAATTTTAATTTTTGTATTTTGCAATTCTAACTTTATGTACAATTCTCTATGTAAATTTCTATTGGTATTTCTGTAACTAATTTCTTTACGATTTCAGAATGGCGAAAGTGCGCTACACGCGGCAGCGTTGACGGGGCACATGACGGTCGCGAGACAGCTCGTGGGCGCGGGGGCTGATCCTTTGCTCGTAAATCAGGAGGGCATCACGCCGCTTCAGCTGGCCGTCCGACACTCGCAGACGCAGGTCGCCAATTACCTGAGGGATAAAGTGAGAGTGCGAACCGCATCCTGTTAGCGATATATACTTCCTCTCTTCCTGATGCCACCATATCGAGAATCTCGACTCGTTTGTCGAGCTCAACTCAACGATGAGACAGTATTTCTAAGCAGGATGTCGCGTACATACACAAATGGGATGTCACTTAAAAAAAAAAAAAAAGAGTAGCCTGGCTTTAAAAGTCGATAGTTTTATTAACCGATAAAAGAATGTTATAACGTGAAAAGTTATTTTATTATTTTATTATATATTTTTTTAAGAATGTTATGTAGGTATATTAAGAATGCGAAGCATAATATATAATCTTATTATTGATAAAAAAAACTCTTGTCGACACTGAAAATAAAATTAGGCTATTCTTTTTCGCGCGTTACTCTATGTTACATAAGTGATATTAATGATCACACTGAGCACGCGAAAGATGTGACAATGAAGATGAAAATTTAATTTCACTAGTAGTAATGATAGCGGATACGCGCTAACGAGCGCAAGTGAGTCGATTATATTAATAGAGACTGTGAGCAGGAATCCGTCTTTACGAAAGTGATTTAGGTCTGTTTGTTTACGTCGTTCTTTTTCCCCACCCTTCCAAAGCCAGTTTCCTTTTAAGTGCAGAAAGTAAATTAAGAAAGCGCGATTGAAACAGACAGACCCATTGTTACGTAGTGTAGATAATCGTGATACCATTCCGTTCTGTTGTAAATTTTCGGTAAAAATATTTTAATACAGTTTTTCTATTGTCAGACGTACAAAATGACGTCCAGAATATTGTGAACGTCGAGAAATAAAATACATCTACTTCTTTCTATTATAATCTGCGGTATGTAACGCATGTAGGTTTTATAAACTTCACTTATACTAGCAGTAATCTCGTGCAATTACATGCAATGAAAATCTTATGTACATATATCAGCAGTCTGTCCACAAAAAAATTATACTGGCTATAGTTAATGTAATTAACGGAAAAAGCTATATCAGATAACGAGGAAGTTATCAATGGATTTATTGACATTGACGCGCTTATAAGACTGACTGATTTGCCTTGATATTTAGATTTCCTTATTGTGCAGATTTTTTTTATCTGTTCTACTATTATAAGTGATGCGCAAAACGATAAAAAAAAAGATTACATTTGTTCAAAAACACATTTTATTAAAATAAGAGTATCGACGTACACTGGATTTTTTTTCAAAATTTATAATAAGTGAGCGCGTGAAATGTCGCATGTATTACGTTTTATTTATCAAAAAATGAACTTTTACCGAAATTAGAATACACAGCGATACTTAAACATTTTACTTTAAACATAATATTTAAATATTCTGTAATAATTTTAGCTTTATAGAAAAATAACGAGTACTCAACCTGTCTTCCTAACAAGCAGCACGGTTCATTAGGTGTAGTTATCGTTATTGTTAACGAAAAAGTGCAAAAAATTAATAAAGTGCTCTATAAAGAAAGCAAGTGACTCCTAATGTATAAAATTACACATGTTACAAATATACTCTGTTACAAAACAATTTTAATTGTTTTGATTTGTTTTTCCTTTACGAAATATATCATATTTACGCATATATAATTGTATGTAATTATCGCTAAATTATTATTATTATTTGTACTTCTGTTTAATGCTATTAATTTATTGCTTATATAACTATATTTACGCACGTACAATGAAATTAGCCAGCCTTGCTTCGCGCATTATCACAGAATATTTCACACAGCATTCGGAATATCATAAATTAAAATTGTTTCAAATTAAATATTTAAATAAAAAATTATATGTTAGCTTTTTCCGTTAACTATAATCAGTATAATTTTTTTGTGGACAGACTGCTGATATATGTACATAGAATTTTCATTGCATGCAATTGCACGAGATTACTGCTAGAACCGGTGAAGTTTATAAAACCTGTATGTGTTATATACTGCAGACTATAATAGAAAGAAGTACATGTATTTTATTTCTTGTTATATATTCAATCTATTAAAAATATGAAACAAAATATACAGAACATTTCTAGATAATTGCTTATCAAATGTCAACGTTTATTAAATTAATTCTATATTTGCACTCATCTCAGAGCATTTGTTTAAATGTGCCTCATAAATAATCTTATAAATATCTTTAAGGAAAGATAATTGGCAGTTTTTTCATTCCTACAAGCTAACAAACTTAATACTAAACATTATGTTGGTGTCAAAGATTTGTATTTTTTTTATTATCAAGTCCTGTTTTAAATAAAAGTGTCACTGATTCCATAATATCATAAAAAAGAGAAGAATTTTTAGATAGAAAAAAATCATCGCTGGCCAGTGAATTGATAAAAAATCCTTTTGGAACTAATAATTATTTCGTCTTTGGTATTATTTTACAAATAAATGGCAAAGCTTTTAACACCAACTTGGCATTGTATTGCTCTCTTACTGAATCAATAAATTAGATAAAGAAACGTGTAATTGCATCGGCCTTCTGGCGCACAGCTGCTGAGTGCTCATTTCCTATTTCACTTCAGATGCAAAGTATCTTCTACCTAAGTGCACATCAGAAGCGTGTCGCGCGTTTCAGTTTCGAAGAAACGCCCGTGGTGGAGTGTTTCTCCGTCGACGACGATGTATCGACTACGAGAGATACGGAGCGGCGGCGGAACGGATTTTACCCGATATTCATAGTGCACTGATAAGAGAGATAACGGAGCAAACCGTATTTATTCCACTCACAAAATTATCAGTTACATGCCGATTCTAAAGGAACACTCATCATGGTTCGCGATCGTATGCCCGATTTGCGTGCGGTTAGTATTTTTACTTTTTCTATAGTTATTGAAGAAATGTGTCGAAAAGAAAAAAAACTTTAACAAATAAGTTTCTCAACTTTTTAAATTAAAAGTAAAAAAATCACTTCTGAGTAAATTTTCAGTAACCGAAACTTTACGTGAAAAGCATTTTATGTAATAATTATTTTATATAAACGGAGTATTCTCGAGCAACTTCGCGCATGAATTATATGAGCAAAAAAAGTTTTGCTTTAGAATCAACTCGTCACTTTCTCGCCTGCGATGATTCGGTAAAAAAAGTCTATACAAAATCAAATATATGTAATTACATATAATGTCCATATACGTACAAAAGAAAGAAAATTACGTATTTTATTATATAAATTTTATATATATTTATATTTGACTATGTATAAACTTTTTTTACCAGAAATATTCACAAAAAATAAACGAACAGTCTAGAAATCATAACGCAACAATGTACTAACATCTCCAGAGCCGAAGTAACAACAGTACCTTTGGCAGAGGGTTCTTGCAGGACGTGCATCTTCAAATAGCTCAGAACAAAAAGCTCAAGGAGCTACTCGACGAAGTACGTATATAAACGCTACCGAGTTTCCCGTCGCAAGCCGCGTACTCTTTGCACTCTTTCACAATCGAAATAATTGAGACTACATAAACACGTGTTATGTAGGCCGAGGAAATACGCACTCTGATCCAACTCATAGTCGAAAACGTTTCCATCGTGAAGAACTTGCATAACAATATCCTGTCGCACACGAACAAGGGTAAGTGGCAGTATCCAACAACGTTAGTGTGAAAAATCCTAATAAATGTATACATACGAATATATCTATTTTGTAGACTTACAAAAGGAATTGGAGACTCGCACGTGTACGATCTCGCAGACGGCTTTTCGCGTGCAGCGAAAGTTACGAGGTAGGTAGATTTGTACATAGATTTTTTTTCGTGAACGTGACGTTCGAAAACTGAGATCACAAAGTCCGTCGTTAATCGTCAGTCAGTTCGCTGTCCCTACGAATTTTACGTCGGGAAATATCCGGCGATATTTCTCGCTCGCTCGACGACCTTTTTTTTCCTCGTGCGGAAGAATCGCTGGCACGCGAACTTGGACGCGAATTTCGCGACGATATAGGCGTGCTGGTACAAAAGTTCGGCTCTGGAGGTGGCGTTTGTATCAGCAACAATCTCTCCAGCTGCGGACTTTTAATTAACGCGTCGTAAGATGGTGTCGTCTGCAAGCAATTATCGGAGTTCAGCGATTCATTACTCTTGTAACGCGATATCATCGAGGATGAAATACGACGGAGTAGAACTCGGGGTACCGCTTGCTTAGCCTGCGCCTGCATGTCCTTGTGACTCACACTGGGCGACGAATTAATACTTTTGCCGTCATCGCTTTCCGAATTAATTTTGTCTCTCAGTCTCCTGAAACATTGCATCAATATATATTTATAAAGTATATATTTCTGATGAAACAATTTTTGCGTTACAAATGTGTTAATAACACACGTAGTTTTAAATAGATCTCTTTATCAAACATTTGTGATTTTATTTTACAGAAAATAGTTTATAAGAAAAGAAAATTTCACTTCATACCAAGATACACAGTAGCAAATTTTAGTATATTTAATTTCTCATAATTTAAGTCTTCAAGTTGAAGATTTTTTATCTTTGATGGAAAAAAATTTTTAAGTGTCAGAATGCACAAGAATTTTATGTACAATGATTTTGTACTACAATGAAGTGATGTAGCGTCACGTATAAATTGCCACACATACCGTTGATAAAGATCCATTTCTTTTTCCAATTGAGGGTACTCGTTTAGCAAACCGACCAGCTGCTCCTTCTCAAATTCCGAGTAAATCTTGAACAGCAGACTAGCCACGTCGTCCTCCAGGGGAGACTTCAGTGCTGCCATTTTCTTCTTAAGCGTAATTAACGTGGGTAATAAACTGTCCAAGTTGTGTTTCTTCAGCGCCGCTACAACGGCATTCAAGGCGTTGTTGTTAGGCGTACCCGATGACGGAGTCGGGATTGTTTCATCGAGCTCCGGCGTGTCGTCCTTGTGCTTCTCGCCAAGAGACGACAGTTGCAGACGATTATTGCTCATTATGAACATCGCGTCCCTCAAGACGCACGCACCCTCCTCGGTCGTAATGTCGATGGAACTCTCGTCGCACATCTCGCGAAGTATATACTTGGTCAGCTTGATAACTAATTCAGATTTCGCCGACACGTCCAAGTGTTCGAGCATAAATTCGTAAATGACGTTACGTTTGTTCTGATTCGCTCTTCCGGGCAGCGTCAGAAGCTTCCGCTCCTGATCGTGCATTCTGTGTCCACAGAACGCGCTGCGGGAAGTATCGCGGTAATTGTTGTAATGATATATGCTCTCCAGAAACTGATGGGAAATCAGAGTCTTGTTCTTCATTAAGAGTCTCTCCTCCACCAGGAAGATCGTCAACTCGCGTATCATGCTGTTCGTGTCCGACAGCATCGTCAGTATGTGAAAGAAAAACGGTCCCTTCATCTTGATAAAATCCTCCAGCAACAGCTCAATGAATATCACCACTATCGCCTCCCTCACGGCCGGATTCGGGTCCTTCATGCTGATGCACAGATCGGGCAGGTACGGCTCCACCAGGGCGGTGAATCTCACGCATATGTCGGCCAACGCTTTCGCGGCGTTTATCTTGACCGCGGTCCTCACCAGCGAGTTCGTCTCCTGGCGCATCACGTTGCCGAGTATCGGCGTGACCTCCTTCGCGACCTCGCGATCCCGCAGCGCCTGCTGACAGAGCAGGACCACCGCGGACGCCTGCAGGTCCTTCATCCCCCTCACCGTGTCCGGCAGCGATTCCCATTGCAACAGTAGCCTCTCGAGTATACGCAAGGTCGACCATGAAATCCTGTTGGTGCAGAAAAGCGACGCGTGGCCCAGCGTGCATACAACTCGCATCTTCACCGTGTCCTGCGTGAACCGTGTCCCGCAGCTCTCGTTCTCCTCCAGCAAGTTTTCGATCTCCGCCTCCGACAGCCTCATCAGTTCCACCATGTCCGATTCTATCACGTGGCCGCTCCGGTCGGCGTGTAAGTGTCGCGACACACCGTTCAGAATGTCCAGGCAGATGCTGACCGAGTTAAAATTGATCTCGAAGCGGCGAATGCACTTGTAGAGATGCTGATAGAGGTCCTCGAGGCAGTCGCGATCCAGGACGGGCCAGGCGTGCCTCAGAACGTGCAAGACCAGACTCGCGTGGAAGTCGTTCTTCTGAACGACCTCCTTGTAGTCCGCGATATACTTATCCACACACGGAATCCTCATGTTCTCGGCCAGAGCGGCCAGCAGTATCCACGCGCCTATATTGTTGTCCGTGCCGACGTGCGACTGCAAATTCGATACCATGGTCCTGGTGATGGCGCCGTTCTTCACCCACAGGCTGCAGGCCTTCGACAGGTGTTTCCTCATCCGCATGTTGCTCAGTCTGTCCAGGATCCGCCACGGCAGGCTGCTCGCCGGGTCCGAGACGTACGCGGTGGCGCTCGTTATTCGGTGTATCAACACGTTTCCCAGGCACTCGAGCACCTTTTCCTGCACCTTGGCGTCGATGTCGTATATCTGCGGCACGACGGCCCGTATCCACTCGTCGAGGAGGCTCGAGTCGTGCGGGAACTGCTGCAGGATCTCGGACAGGACGTGCACGGCGAACTGGCGCACGGTCAGGGTGAGATCTCGGCAGCGATCGCTTATCACGTGCACCAGCTTGCCCACGAGCGGCGGGAACATGACGGCCAGATTCCTCGAGATCTTCAACGCGCTCCGTCGCACCAGCGCTCGCTCGTCATTGACTCGCTCCAGCAGCAGCGCGACCAGAGCGGTCGAGCCTGGCAACGGATCGACGTCCTCCAGGAGAGCTCCCTTCAGCTCGTCGAGCGTGGGAAACGTTTTATCCGCGGCGGAAGCTTCGAACATGCCTCTGAGAATGCTGCGGTCGGCGTCGTCGCTGCAATCGGAGAACGAAGCGAGCGTCGCCATGGCCTTTCCCCTCACTAGGGCGGAACGATCCGTACAGCGGGACGATACGATGCCCAGCAAGATCCTCCTCATCTTCATCTTGATATCGTTGTCCAAATCGTCGTTCGACAGAGAGGATTCCGTCAAGATCTTTCCTATAATCTCCTGCGCGAATAATCTGCAGGATATCCTGCCGCTGTGCGAGAATAATATTATGTCCCCGAAAACGCCCACGATAATGTCCCTGTTACATATATTCAACAATTTCATTATGACAGCCGCTTGCCTCTGACGTCCCTCCAGTCTCTCCGGGCATTTCGCCATCAGCTGGTGTATCAGGGTCACGATGCCCTGCCTGGCCTCCTGCTCGTGTACCTTTGACAAATTCTTCAGAAAATATATAGCCGCCTCGTGCACGACGGCGATGGACTTCGGTTGCGCGTTCGCGTGGTGGAACAGCAGATCGGGCAGCATGTACTGCGCGATCAGCATCACGGTCAGGGCGACGGTCCCGTGATTGCTGCTGCACAGCTCCTGCAGGGCCGCGAACGCGCTCCGCGGCAGGGACGCTCCGTAGCCGCCGCGAGCAGACACCCTGGCGTGCATCTCCAGCCTCGTGATGTCCAGCAGCGTGCGTATCGTGACGTCCAGGGACTCGGCGTGCTCCTTGAGGCGAAAGGACTTCAGCATCGCAACGAGATCGGAGACAATCCTGTCCAGCCCCCGCGCGAGCCTCGATCTCTCGGGGTGCAGCAGACCGTTGCGCTCCGAGAATTCGTCGTCGCACGCGCCGGAACTCGCGGCGTCCGCGACGCGCCTGCCGCCGCTCTCCACGGCGGGGAACAGGCTCTCCGACATCTTCAGCGTCTCGATCGCACGCTGGTACAAGTTCGGATGGTAGACTCCGAACGCGTTGCTGCCGGGTATCGTGAGGAGCATGAGGTAAAGGCTCGTCGCCTCCAGGCAGGCCTGCCTGGACTCCTCGTCGGTCTCGGCGTGCTGCTGGCCCGCCTTCATCACGTAGCCGAGCATGGCGAGCAGACCGCGCACGTTGATGTCGAGTATCATCAGGGCCTGCCACGAGAACTCGGCATGGCTCTCCCGCAGCTCCTCGTTCGCGGTGAGCCACGTCTTCAGGACGCGGCGGGACTCGCGCAGCAGCCGCCTCGCGCCGTCGCTCTCGAGGTACTCGAGGCCGCCCCCGCCGGGCGGATCGTCGTAGACGACGAACTCGGCGTCCCAGATCGACCTGATCCAGCCCTCGTCGAGGGCGTGCAGCTTGAAGTCGTGAAACACGCGCAACGACTCCATGACCTTCTCCGTCGTCGATCTCTTCGAGAGGCCACGATCAGGCGATCCGCTCCTCCTCGCCGTCCTGCCGGACTCGCGCTCTAAAACTCTTCTCGCTTTCGCCAAACTTCTATTTTATTTTTACATTGCGACACAAGAGTGTACATAAATTATCAAGCCGCAAGGAACAAACCTATTTTCTCTCGAGCAAGCCACGGACGTAAACATAACCTTAACTTATCGCCACGATAAGCGCGGACTGCGCCCGCACAGATACGAGATTCGACGAGGGGTTTCAGGTTATCATCCTCTGCATGCGTATTGATAATAACTGTACGATTCTTCCACGGTGCAACAAGTGATCCGCGGAAATTGCCTTCGTGAATTCATCGTCGAACATTTCGCTCGTCGTGACGGGATACGCGAGAGACGAGCAACAGCGTAGTCCGTGTATAAGCGGGAAACTGAACACCAATTATCGTCTGCAATACCTATGTAGTGCAATGCTGCATAAGTCAAACAGCCGTTGCTTGTGTGTGTGTGTCACATACATTACATACACATCGATGCACGATTGCATATAACATACATGCATTTACCAATCCCATATTTATACAAACGAAAATATCTTGCAGGACATATGTCACATATGTGCGTGTATAAATATTGGTTTTAATTTCTGAAATGTATTACGCAATTAGACAATTACTATGATATTACTGTAATGATAGATTAATACTGTTGATCATATTAATGTGAAATTAATTTTAACATTGAAAGTACAACGGTAGTAAAATCAATTAAAATAATTCAGGGTTGGGTAACAATTACTATAGTTGATTAGCTACAAGTTAAAAAGTCATAGATACGAATAAAAAAAAGTTGTGAACTTTTTGCACAAAAAGTTAAATTAATTAACTTACAATTAGTTAATTTTCAACTTTAAATACTGATTATTTTGAAAACACACAAACTTTAACTTATTAATATTTTTCATAAGTTAACAAATTTTTTCATTGCTCTTAATGCCAATACATATTTTTTTGTCTATAAAATTTTGAATATTAGAAAATTAGTTTACAGTAAAAACTCAGTAATTACTCAGTAATTATTACAATGGGCGTTTTCAAGGCCCAAAAAGATGAATGGAAATTGACAAATTTATATTTCACGTATGATGCACACAAGGCATAATTTATCTTTGTTTAACATTTGAACAACAAGAATAAATAATAAATGCACCGTGCGCATCATTCGTAAAGTGGAATTTTAGAACTCTGCATTCAAAGAGCTATCAACGCTGCAGAATAATGAGACAATAACGCGCTATTTATCCTAGCAATATTCGATTTAGATTCGCATGTTGATGTATGTTTGCTTCCTTTCTTTTTAACTTATTAATTCTGGTTATGCATCCTTCGTAGATATCGGGAAAGGTATTACTGTCATTGACGATTTGACTGTGACGCATGATGAGCCTGTATACACGAGAATCAGGACGTTGCAATATACAACTATGCTGCAATCGTTTTCCGAGATCATGGCGGATTATAATGCCTCGTTACTAAAGTATCATGATAAGTGCCTCTTGCTCTTGCAACAGCAACGTACACTACGTGCGTACTTACAAAAAAATGTTATTCACAGGATACATATTTTGTACATCTTAAAAAATATATAATGCATTTGTACATTTATAAAAATAACTATTAAATTTAAATTATAATGAATCAATTTAAACATTCTTTGTAACAATGCACATATGCATTACTTATTAATCAAACTAATTGTTGCACAGTAAGGCGGCAGGTTACAAGCGTGGAATTGGACCATATGCTCGATGCCCAAGAAACTAGCTTATTTGTCGATAATGTAAATATAGATTTGCCATTATGATAGTATTTATCACGAATCTTTTTATGAAATATCTGATCAATTATATGCAGATTTTAGAAGACAGCGAAATAGCGAGGCAACAATTGTCAGACATAAAAAGTAGACATAACGATGTCCTGAAATTGGAAAAATCTCTCACAGAGATTAGAGATATGTTTGCGGAAATGGCATTCCTGATCGAGAAACAGGTGAGTGTAAGCTGTTTATGGCAAAATTGCAGCTTATGAATTATATGTAACATTATTAAACGTGTGACTTAAAATATGACATTTAAAATCCTCTTATAGGGAGAACAGATTAACAACATAGAATATTTTGCAAATAAAACCACGGATAACATAGATGGTGGACGCGTTCAACTGAGACAGTCAGAACAGAGAAATCATCGACATAGAAAGGTATATATATATAGATATTTGTTTCGCTTAGTTATTTTCAACAAAATATAATAATCACCTTTTTGCAGCGAAAAATCAAGATTGCCATTATCATAAGTGTAATAGTGATAATTTTTCTTTTATTTATTATTGCATCGCTTTAGAAACTATACAAGATATCTTATAAATATATAGTTTACACGAATGTTTTAATGTGTCAATTAGGAATAAAAAATTTATGTGATTAATTTACTAATTAATGTTATTAATTAATTATTATAACTTACAGTTATTCTTTACGCATATCTGCGCATTTCTCGTAGTAGTTTACCAGTGCTTTCGCGCTAGGTCTCAATTTGTAACTTGTGGTACATATAAAAAATATTTCCAATATTTGTTCATACTCTTTGTCCAAGTCGATAGCGGGTAGAGCTGGACGTGTACCTGAAATCAAACGTCTTAATGTTTTATTAATTCAATTCACAATAATTTATTTCAAATTGTATATAATTTGAAAAAATTAAATTATATATAAAACTAAAATTTTAAATTGCTTCTCACCGTATTTACTGAATCTACGCGGCATTATGTCCTTGAGGAAAGTCATACTGTCGTCCATACTAACATCAGATTCATCAAGTTGATTATTTTTCATGTCTCCGAATGTGACTGACTCGTCGAAAGATTCATTTTCATCAGAATCTTCGCAGTGAGGTGGTGTTAGAGCTATCATTTCCCAAAGGACAAGACCGTAAGTCCAAATGTCAGCAGCGTTCGTCACCGGTCCGTTTTCTACAAGGAAATAAATTTATGAAAATTTTTTAAAAGTCATACTTGCAAATATTGTAAATCAAACATAAGATGTAGAAATAAGGTTTCTCTAAAGCAATAATAATGTTACAGATTATGAATTATGTAAACTTGGTACATCGTGATTTTGTGAAAAGTGAAAAATGATAATACAAAGTAATACAACAAAGTTAAAAATGATAATACAAAAATCATGATACACGAAATAATTGAACATTGGACGAGCAAGTGTACCGAATATAATTTCTGGAGGATTCCAACATTCGGTTCCAACGTAAGAAAAATCGCCTTTCGACGTGTCCATTTCTAAAGATTCCGTCAAGGGCAGAGAGTTCCCAAAGTCGCACAGTTTAATCGCGTTGAAATCATGGGACACCAAGATGTTCCAACTCTTTATATCGCCATGTAATAAGTGCACAGTGTGATGCAGATACTTCAACCCCTTTGCGATTTCAAAGCCGACTTTCAAAATGTCCTTGGCTGGGAATGGTTCGTCCTCCAAGGTCTCCCGTCTCTCCTCGATCTTGTCACCTGATTTGCGACATTAATATGAGTCAATATGAGTGCAAACCTATCTTAAGAATGTTCGAGTATTCGAGTGTTCGTTAGAAACTCTATAAATACCAAGTGACATGTCCAGGGCTTCCATGGCCAAGCAAGGCTTCCCGTCTGCTCCCTTGGTGAACGCTCTGAAACCGACGATATTAGGATGATTCAATTGTCGCAGGACATCGGCTTCCAATCGGAGACGTCCGTCATTTATCTCGTTGCTCTTTCCCTTTAGCCATTTCTTCACCGCCCATGGTGAGCGTACGGAGCCTACTTTGGGCGATCTTTCCAACATGTACACTGCAACTCCTGACAGAAGGCATAAAAATAAAATACAATTTAGATATTTTCCATATTAAAATTGCATTCACAGCAGTACAACATGTACACTGCAACTCCTGATAAGACATAAAAATAAAATACAAAATAAAATTGCATTCACAGCAGTACTAAAGCAAAATTCCTATATATAATTAATTTCTAATCCAATCTTTTTTCCCCTTTTTTACACATTCCTATATTATTTTTCCACATATTAATTACAAAAAAAAATTAAAACTCTGTAAGCATAAAATAATACAAATATTATTTATAAATAATTTAATAACTAAGCCAATCATCAATTAAATTAATCAGCAATTTGGTCGGAATCACTCTAAATATTCTTTATTTATATCGTTTAGACGGTAAACAGAAAGGAGTAAATAACAAGGGTGTTTGTGTTTACATACATACCAGTGCCATAGCCTATCTTCTGCAGGAAAGGCGAGGCCGGTATTTTTATCGGCGTGTTTAATTCGGCTCGGTCAGTCACCCTCTTGCACTTCGCCCTCGGCGGCGTACCGATCTCGGCCATCTTCCCCGAGACGAAATTGAGAAAACCGGCAGACGGATCGTAAAAGGGACGCTCGGTATAACCGTTTCAAACAATTTGAATCTTGTCGAAACTGCGCAAGTGGCGCGAGCCTGCGAGATGCGACGATACGATTGGCTGTAGGGGCTATAGAGAAATCTCCGTCAGAGTGACATAGCACCCTTAGGCTGGATCCTCATGCAAACACCGGCGCTTTGACACTGAACGCTGATTGGCGGAAAACGATTAGTGGGAGAAATTCTCTTAAGCGGTGTCTACAATGAGACTTAAGAATTAAGATTTAAGAAGATTGATCAATCACAATCGATTATTCTATTCGCGTGAGATGAATAATCTATTGTGATTGGTCAGTTTTTCTGTATAATATTTGCTTGAATAATCTGTGCCTTATATTCCTATGTTCATGCTCGACATAGGATCATGGTGGAAAAAAACAAGTTAAAACACATTGCGCATAAAGGCGGCATGGAGGTGGCATGGCTTAAAATTTCGGCCAATCAGTTGTTCCCCACTGCATCTTGGGGAATAGCTGATTGGTTCATTGCCAGTTTATTGCCCCTCACTACTTTTGAACGACTGCGCATCCACCGGAATGGTTCACCTTGTTTCTTTCCACCATGGAACGAGCCTCCAAGTAGTCCAAGTGAGGGGTTATACCATTATAAGCGCCGCTGCGGGCATCGATCGGGATTCTGCTCTGCCTCTTTCGTGCGAACGGTGTCTCGTAATTAAGGACCTGCGATCCGACGAGCAGATATAAGGACCTACGAATTACAATTCCGTTCCGGGATTTTGGATATCAGAAAGAGTAGAGTTTCCACAAGCCGGTGAGGATACACATATATTACAACTAAATAAAGCCACGCTTTAATCGAAAAAGGTGCGTTTTTGCTTGAGGGGTTGCCGTCGCCACGCGACTTATGGTGTTCATGTCGATTCATTGGCGGCGTACCCACGAATTTTCATGCAATCTTTTTTCATATATTAAAACACCTATAGGCTCATTAAAAGTAAATTTTAATATCATAATAATAAAAGTCATTGTGACCGACAAAGCCTCACTGCGGAGTCTTACTTTATATGTATGTGTATAGTCATTATACAAAAACTCTTGTACCAAGTAAATATTGTCATGAGTCGATGCTAGAGTCAATAACAAAATTAATTTTCGAAAATATTTCGTTTTCGTGTATCTACATAATAATTTAATAATACCTATAAAACAAAAATGAGCTATTAATTAACTAGTAACTATTAACTATTTTTCGGATGCTTACAGATTTATAATATGGAGAACGCAAACCAAGACTGTAAATGTCATGATTTATATCAAATTATACACAAACTTATTAAAGATTTAGATCCAATTGTTTTAAACCGGCAAACTATTATAAATAATTTAGAACCAATACTTGAGTAAGTATGCAAGTGAGACAAAGCATGTAATTTCTAATACAAGTAATTAACTGACTATTACATTTTACAGATTTTTCAGTACGTTTTCGAATGAAGTTGTTCAAATGGATCCACACAAGGGCGAACTTATAAAGCAACAATCACTAGACATTGTAAATGATCTAAATGTATTAATTAAAAATACAAAGCTAGAAAAAGATATACCAAAATTCAAGAAAATTATGAATAAGAAATTTATATCTGAGTAAGTATTCTTTAATATTTCCTTATTGTGCTCACGGCCTTCCCAGAGAACATATGACGTCTTAAATTTCATGAGACGTCTTAAAAAAGTATCAAAAAGACGTCTTTAAGACGTCTTGTGACGATTTATGACTGGAGCCTCTGGGATGTTTTATAAACGTCTTGTTTTCTTGTAACCCAATTTATGACGTCCTTTAGACATCTTCTGAATTTTTTTTTTTTAATTAACGACGTTTTATTCAAGACTTATTTAATTCGTATTTTAGACGTCTTTCAGACGTGCTAATTAATATATAGTTTTCCACACCTTGAATCAAATAAATTTAAACGATTTTTATATTTTTATAATTTCTATATTTATAGTGGCAGCTGTGGCGCGACGAATTGCGTGTTGGCTTTTTACAAAAATTTGGAAGAATTAAAGGATTAGAAGCGATTCGTCACTTCTCAAAAGGCAAACCATCACGAGTAATTTTGCCGAAGAAAGTCACCTTCGAAGTCCGGAAACAACAAGTACAATAATGGGTCATTCGGATCACAAGAGGAAATCTGCACGCTGACGAGTGTATGGCACACGAGAAGACGCATACATATTTTTATACTTAAGAATACTCAAATGTGATTATGCATGTGTAAATAAAATTTGTATCAGAATTATTCAAATTAAGATAATAAGTCAAATAAAATATTTTCCATTTCAAATAACAAATCTTGAGCTCGAAAGTGGATTAACCTTCATAAGTGAATGTCCATACACCGACGTCACAGACTATGTATATACCTAAATCAGACCTAGACCGCTAACTTAAAATTCGACGGTAAAATATCCCTGCCGCGGCGGCGCCGGCCCCCGACGGTTGGCGGCCCTTCGACCCGAGCGGAGCCGCAGTCGCTCGCTTCAAAAGAATCGAAGCAAAGATGGACTCCTGAGAGATTTTTATACACACACCAGAGAGATCGTCGTCGAGAAGCTTCGGTAGTTATTCCGCCGTTAAGTTCTCACCGAGGCGCGCCCGGAGGGCCGGACGTTCTTTTTATGATCACGCTTGCGGGGTGCGAACGATGATCGTGCAGGAGCCAGTGCAGGTAAATTTGCCCAGAGAGAAGGGCGCGAGAGAGGAAGGAGGAGAGAGAGAGAGAGAGAGGTAAAAGCGCTGGACTTTTTCCTCGAGGTGGACCTCGTCACCGCTGTGACATGCGGGATTTTGTTGTAACGGGCCGCATCCACGCGTTGACGTTCCGCCCCGATCGGGCGCGCGCGCGCGCGCGCGTTCCTCGACGGCCCCTCGGTCGGCGTCGAACTCGACCTCCACGACGGTCCTGCCTCTTGACGGCCGAGGATCGTCTCCTCGGACCTCTTTCGCAGACCTCGTTCAGCCTACCCTCCCCCCTCGTCTTCATCGTCCTCCGCGGGCGTCCGTTTGCCCCGTCGCGGTCGCGAAGAAAAACGAGCGGAGCGGAGGAGGGTTCTTCTGGCTATAAATAATCGCGAACTTTGCCTGTACTTATGAATTCTTGATACATTGTGGCCGCCTGAGGAGATTGAGTGTGAAAAAAGAAAGCGCCGTTTCTCTAAGAGTCCGTATCCACTGGCGGTCCGCGCCAGATTTGTCAACGAATTTACTTGCTACCTTGTGTGCTCGCAAATGTTACGTTTGGTAAATACGAATATTTTGCATGAATTCCGCTAAGCGGTAAGATGCCCGCGTCATCCCGAAATTCAATGTAATGAAGTGCATATTGTTTGTATGCTATCTTATCAATTCGAAGATTAAGGCAATATTAATCGAACTCATGTTGTAACGTGTTTGTCGCATTGTGGTTAATTTAAATGGTGCTTTTTTTTAAAGACGTGCCTTTTAGAGACTGATAACTTTGACTACTTAGGTATTGCATCATTTTCAGCAATGCATAATGAAAGACTATGTTTCTCTCTAACGTATTGAAATCTAAGAATATAAATGATGATACATATTGCATTGCTTACAATAGTATTTTTCTCTCAATAATTTTTCGTATCATTATTTTTCCTTATTTACTTTGCAATTCGTATCGCTATTGCGTAATCAGTTAAGATAACCGCTGAATTTTCTCATTTTAGGCGGCCATATGGCATTGTTTAAATCATTATGCTTATCCAGATGCTATATTCCTGGCAGAACGATTGTGTGCAGAAGGTAAGATCATCTACTATCTATTTTGTTAATCAATTTATTCTCATATTTTTATAAAAATAAATTTGTTTTATATATAATAGCATATATATATACACGCATATACACTGATTTATTACGTTATTATTACAGTGGATACAGAGGAAAGTTTGTTTCTTTTGGCAACATGTTACTACCGTTCTGGTCGGATTAGGCAAGCTTACGCCTTATTATCTCAAAAGGCGCCTAGTTCGGCACAATGTAGGTTTCTGCTAGCAAAATGTTGTTACGATCTGGAAAAGTAAGTGATACAACATCTTGTGTTTATTTCGTTGTGTACCACCTGCATAAAATGAGAGCATGGTGTTCATCTTGTTCATCGAAAATTTCTAGATACGCGGAAGCGGAGGCTGCGATAATTGGCGGTTATTACAAGCAGCTGAAGAATTTGGAAGAAATAATAACTCAGTTCGGGGAACAGGCATGCTTTTCCCTGCAGATAATAGCGAAGATTTACTATAAAATGATGCGCACCGCGAGAGGTAACGAGGCGCACAAGCTGGCATTGAAGTTGAACCCTTTCCTCTGGCACTCGTTCGAAGAGCTGTGCAACGTCGGCGAGAAGGTGGATCCTGCCAAGGTTTTTCAGCTAGACAAACTAGATTCGTTCGCCATGTGCCACGGTACCGTGTCCACGCTCAGCTACGTCACCGAACCGGATCTTATCGTACCTGGAAATAACGTCAACAATACACCCATGTCGAACGGCACTAACATGTACGTACATATTTATACATATTATATTATATTAATACAACCTAGTAATTCTTATTTTTCATTGACATTTTAACCTTGCGCGTTGCAGTACACCCGTGACGATAGCGCCAACGCTGATAAATGGCGGCCAGATGCCTCAGGTACGATTGTGCTCCTCCATGGAGGAGTCCCCGCAAAACGCGCCGATTCACTACAGCAATTGCTCCTCGATATCGCCGAAGACCAAACTGTCGCGTTATCGCAGCATGTTCAGCAATTCCATGAGTCCGCTCACGCCTAGCTTCGGCATCCTGCCGCTGGAGAACAATACACCCGAGCAGACGGTACCACCCTCGCACACGACACTCACGGAGGCCAACGACCAAAAGAGCCTGGCGAAGCGTGTCAGTAATCTGAAAGCTCACGTGGGGGTGAGTACAATCGGAGGGGATGCGACCAATCTGTCGACGTCTCACGATGCATACGGCGGCTTAACACCTTTCCCCTATGTCTTTCAGCAATTAATGTCGAGAAAAGAAACACCGTTGCAGCAAGGCAAATCGGTATTTTCCCAGTCGGGCAATACAAGCAATACTGCCAATATTGTGACAGTGACGGCGGCCAATCCGACCTCACCTCCGTCACCGACGTTCCAGGGCACCAATGTTAGACGGTCGTCGCGACTCTTCAGCCACAATTCCGTAAAAGTGCGATTTTTTTTATTTTTCTCTTCCAGTATTGCAACTCGTTTTACCAGCAATTTGCCATGTAACGCGTACATATTTCAGGAAAACAATAAGTCGCCCAATAGGAATAAATTTGCTACTCCGAAGTCTCCGTCTCGGAAGACGAAAGCGAGGCTAGCCAAGGCGAATTTGAATAAAGCCAACTTTAACGAGTTAAACGAGAGGAATAGGAACGAAAAGGAGAAGAGCGAAACGATCACGTCTGAGAAAGCTGTGGCTAACGCGAACGCACTCAACGCCCAGAATAATAATATTCATTCTGGGATAACATTGCAAAAGCAGTCGGCAGGCACGTTAATTGTATTTCATTAATTCACTCGATAACTCTTCGATATCTCAGGATAGCTTAAAGTGTTTTTTGGTCTGCAATTTTTCAGAGGGGTTGATGTCCTTGCTGCGAGAATTAGGAACGGCGTATCAGCACTTGAGTCAGTTCAAATGCACGCAGGCGGTTGAAATACTAAACATACTGCCGACGCAGCACTATAATACGGGCTGGGTACTCTCTATGCTGGCTCGTGCACATTTCGAGATGATGGATTATAAGAAGGCCGCTAGGTAATAAATTTATACGTACGCTAATCGTCACTATTTAAAAGGAATGTATTTATTTCAGTACTTTCTTCTATTTGTAATACTAGAGATAGACGTACATACGTTCAATGTCTGATGCGAGAAAATGAAAGGAAACGAACGCATATTGAAAGTTTAAAATTAAAGACAGATCTTTTGTTTCCGATAGATTTGTACTTCTCTTCAATTCCCTTTTTTTAAAATTCTGTTCGCTTAATTTCCTTCTTTTTTTTTTCGTGCAAAGTTATTTCGCCGAAGTGCGACAGTTAGAGCCACAGAGGACAGAGCTGATGGAGATTTATAGCACTGTTCTGTGGCATCTGCACGCGGAAGTACAGTTGTCCACGCTCGCTCAAGATCTGGTTTCCCAAGACCGTAATTCGGCGGCGGCGTGGTGCGCCACGGGCAATCTCTTCTCGGCGCAAACGGAACACGAAACTGCAATCAAATTTTTCCAAAGAGCCATTCAGGTTACTATGCGTTTTATCTTAATTGTAACGTGAATATTATTAACGGTGCGACTAATTTAATTTGAAAGTGACACACGACATTCTCTCTGATTGCTCATCAGGTGGATCCTAATTTTCCATACGCCTATACATTACTAGGACACGAGTACGTTTTGACTGAGGAGCTGGACAAAGCGATCACCGCTTTTCGTAACGCCATCAGACTCGATCCCAGACATTATAATGCATGGTAAGAGTTTCTCGTAAAGTGATCTTGTGACAGTGTTTCGTACTTTCGGAATTCGTCCGAGTTTATTATGTATGTAAAACTTTTTTCTTCTTTTTCATGCTATTGAAGGTTCGGGCTAGGAACGATATTTTCGAAACAGGAGCAATATAGTTTAGCGGAGTTACACTTCAAACGGGCCTTACAAATAAACCCGCAGAATTCTGCGCTGATGTGCCACATAGGTGTCGTGCAGCACGCCCTGAAGAAGACCGACCAGGCGTTAAAGACACTGAACACCGCGCTAATTAACGATCCGGATAATACTTTATGCAAATTTCACCGTGCGAGCATCAACTTCTCTATTGGCCGACACATGGAAGCTCTGAGAGAATTTGAGGAGCTGAAGAACATTATACCCAAAGAATCTCTAGTCTACTATTCGATAGGAAAGGTAAGAGCGATCGTTTAATCGGAACAGAATTTCTCTGAAATTTTTCGTCTTGACTTCTCTTACATAAATATACCTCCGTTTTTGCGACAGGTACATAAAAAATTAGGCAATACCCATCTTGCGTTAATGTACTTCAGTTGGGCAACGGATTTAGATCCGAAGGGTGTTAATAGTCAAATTAAGGAGGCTATACTGAGTCCGGGCCAAGGAGACGATGACACCCCGCCGACGCAGTCAGGTATATAATTATCAGATATAATGAGAGCTACACAGAATTTTAATTCTTTTGGAACTTTGCAATTTGAAATCATTTGTGTGCTAAAAATATTAGTTATTATTTTATATTTGTATGACTGAAGTAGTTTGTAATATCTTTGTCACAAAATGAATTATTAAATTGATAATATAATAGCTTACACATTGTTAGATCTATAGTGTCAAATTTAACCTTAATTAAGTCCCCGTTGCTTCTACTTAATAAATAGTTATTTTTAACTAAAACAATGTAGTTAAATAATTTAAAATAGGTCAAATTCAAGCCAAATTTGGATTAAATTCAATTGTTATATTAAAAATAACTATATATTAAGTAGGAGCAGTGGCGACTTAAATAAGGTTAAATTTGATACTATAGATTTAACACAGTGCACACAATTTCCGAATCTCCTCCAAAGATATTGTATTCTTCTAGACGAACAGCAAGCACAGAATAATTCAATGGAGCAGGATATCGAAACCAGTAGAGAAGGAAGTGCCGCGCCACTTGCCGGAAACGTCTCGGTCGAGCCTCATGCCGACGACAGCGACGATAGTTTATGAAAACGATACGCGAGAAGAGTTTCGTGAAAAAGAGATATGGGACGTCATTATTCTCGGTATTAGTCATCCGAATCGTTTTTCATTCGCCGATCTCGCTTGCAGAATCGCTGATGCGCGATCATTGATTTAAATTGAACGATTGTCGACATCTTTGCGAACGATATAAATTCGATTAAAGGGATCCTGAAGTGACGGGATTACTGACATTATATATACGGGTTAAAAAAATTCTCCGAATTGGCTGTACAAAATGGAAAAATTCTTTTCCAGGATTGAAATAAAATATAGGTGCGAAACGGTCGATTTAAATACGATTTAAAAAACGGAATAAAAATTAAATGATTATAAGTATAATTTTTTAATTTTTTTCCGTTTTGAAGATTAAGTCGATTGTTTCGCACCTTACATTTATTTCAGTCGTGAAAATGGATTTTTATATTTCGCACAGCCAATTCGGAGAATTTTTTAATCTGCAATGTCGATAATTCCGTCACTTTAGGTTTCCTTTAAAAAGAAGTATGTTATTTTTCCGCATCAAATTTTTTTTTCATCTTGCACGAATTCGGGATTCTTGTATACACGGTGATGCGGTGTACTTGCGACAACAGAAGACTCGCGTGTCGTATCCCCTCCATCGACTTGTATATTACGCGTTCGCCTCTGTATATTTTTTTACGATTGCTCGATCATCACCTTTTGTATTTCTTCATGCGCTCTTTGATCATCTCTCCCTCTCTTGTACCTCGTTCCGTCTCGCGGACTAAGAGTCGCTTCGAGTCAAACGTGACTCAAGTAGAGAGACGGGGAGCTCGCGAAGCCGATCGGGTTTTTAAGTCGGGCTGCGGCATTTCAATAAAGAAGGGAGGAGAAGGGGCCGATTTAATATCGCGGACGAGGTATTAGAGATTTACGGTTGGAATAGAGACATGTATCATGTTGCGTAAGGATGAGAACGACTATAACCGTAAGCATGTCGTATGTATAGTTAGGTAATATAATTAATTGTTCGCGAATAAGGAGGGAAGAGTCTTGTGTAAATGTAAATTATTATTACTGTGTATTTACCGCTATTATTACTATTACTATTAGCGCTATCATTACCATTTATTCGTATGATTATCATTGTTGATTTAGTGATTGTGAAGGTATCGTTGGCCGCTCGGCGTCGGAGCGGCCGCTGGACGATCGTGCAATTCTCGTCATGAAGATTCTCCCTTGCCCCGCCTCGTCCTCCTCCTCCCCCTCCCCCTCCCCCTTGGTTGATCATACGAGTCCGAAACACCGTGACTGCGATTTCGGTGGATTCAGTAATCGCGCGATTACATTCGGGTTTTTCTGTTTTGTTTGTTCGATCTCGACTCGATATTCGGAATTTATAGCATAACTCGCCTCGCAAATGTCTATATATATAAATATATATAGAAATACTCGTCGGATTATATTCTTAATAGTGCTGGACAGAATTTATGACGTTTCACGGCGTCGGTCTTCGTGTCGATATTAAGTGTACAATGCAAATTGTGTCCCGTTACTCCTCGAATTTTCGTCGGATTTTTCTCCCCCCCC